GGAGCGAGGCGACGATCCCCGCACCGTCGTTCAGCTCACGTAGTGCATATCGGTTAGAACAATCGTTGTGCTTGTTGCGTGGCGTCTGGATACTCAGCTCTCTGTGTAGCGACACAGATAGCTTGAAGTGCAGTCTGCGACCGCCGAGATGCTCGGTTCCGGTATCGGCGATACGGTCTCAGGACATCGATCACGCCGTCAACAATCTCCACAGCAGGCCTATGCAAAGTAGGTGACCTTGCGACAATATCCATCCTCCTAGATCCCCGCGGCGAGTTTCAGACCATCACGGCCCGTGGCGCATCGGGAAAGCGGCGTTAATCCGCGCTCAAAATACTCCATGTGGATTGTTTGTTACACTAGATCCGGCGACAGCACAGCTGCGGCGCGGATAGCATGGCAAACCGCATCAAGCGCCATGAAACCTGAGATCGGGGCATTCTAGATGTGGCCCAGTGGAGTCCCACAAGGCCAGAAGACGCGTAATTGCTTTTGAGATGCTGCGAGGCGAGGTATCGTGGTGGCATGGTCTAGGGCTGGAGGGCGATTGGTGTAGCCACGTCGTTCTTGTGTGACTCTTGAGATTAGTCGTCGAGATGGTGGTGTTCGAGGCAGGAAGAACAAACAAGCAGGCTAGATGTCCTTGATTAGTTTATCGAATCTCGATGGCCGCGAGTTCTTCCCGTGGGCGTAGACTACCCCAGCAGAAGGAACGTGCCAATTAGTATACTCGTAGCGTTCATGCGAGATCGTATGTATAGTAAGCGATGTGTTTGTTCCCCGGAGGTGGTGTGTAGAAAGCCGTTTGTTGGTGAATGTTGGGCAAGGGGCACCTTGCGATATATTTGCGGCCCCATGCAGTTAATCCCCAATGCCCTGGCTGCCGGGTTCGCTCCTGCATGTGAGGAGAAGCGACCCAACGATGACACGGGTGTCACCAACGTCAATATGGATGGTCGTGTTGCGCAATGGAGGACGAAGGCAGACGACATATGCAGGCGAAACAGCGCTGCAGGCAGTGGAAGGCTGACGGCATTCCAAGGACTCCACTTGGTGCTATCAGAACTTCATTAACGCGACTAGGCGAGTCTCCGTCAACCGTCGCATGGACTAGCTCCACCTTTATTTCCAACACGAGCGACCCATTCCGAAGATTGACAAGATTCCATTTGCAATCGACGAGGTGCGCCCGTGGTGTGCGTCTCGTCAGCTACGATAACAGAGATTCGGTCCTAGATACCCGTGGACAAGAGGCGACTTCCACAGGGCGTGGCTGCGGGCGCCGGCCGGCGACCTCCGAATAGCGCGTCCGCGCTGATACGCCAGGGCTGGCGTGGCTTCGAGGGGGAAAAGCATGTGTATGCGCCAAGATGAGGTGTCGCGAAAGGCGAGCTGCCGTGCCCGGGACTTCACTCTACGTTCCCCAGGCTTAGGCTGAGGGAAGCGGCCGGTCACCTTCACGCGCAGCACGCCGAGACAGCCTAGCTTGCCGCGAAGTGGAATCGCATGGGCCGCGCGACTAGTCCAACTAAAGCAGGGCTTGATCGGCCTGATATGGGTCATTGGTTCTTCGCGGGAGGTCGAACGCGACAGGGTTGGTCGTCGCCGCTGGTCCTTATCTTTTTGGTGCGGGATACACTTTCATTCACATCCGCCGTCCAGGCCCTGTGCTACGAACGCACCCTGACTTAAAAGACTCGCTTCGCCTTCACTGGTAAATCGAGCAGAGCTTGACGTCGATCCTCTCGCCGGTCTACTCCGCATCAACTGTACCTCTTCATCGCACACAACTCAACTCAATTTTGCGATTATCAACCGCGGTGCCGTCGAGAAAAAATTCTGCCACAATGTCGGGCTTTGTTCACAAGGTCAATGGCGCGGTCGCGCGCTCCGCCGTCGGACGGTACTTTCGCCTCGAGGGATCAGGGCATGTATGTATATCGCATGTCGATAGTCGGTACATGCACTAACAGCCCTATAGCCCAAAGAGCGCAAGGGGAGCTACTTCTTCACTGAGTTCCGCGCGGGACTAGCCACCTTCTTCGCCATGGCTTATATCATCTCTGTTAACTGTATGTCCATTGCGGGATGTCGTTGACAGAACCGCATCTGATGACCATGTGTAGCATCCATCGTGTCAGACACTGGTGGTACTTGCGTGTGCCCAGGCCTCCCGGACGACCCCATTTGCGAGACCAACCCACAGTACGCCCTCTGTGTCCAGGAAGTCAGACGTGATCTGGTTACCGCGACGGCTGCCATCTCCGCTTTGACTACTTTCTGCATGGGCTTGTTCGCCAATCTGCCCATTGCCCTGGCTCCGGGTATGGGGCTGAACGCCTACTTTGCGTACACCGTAGTTGGTTTCCATGGTACAGGTACGTCGCACCAATGCGCCATTCCCCGTTCCCGTTTATGTATCCCCGTTATGCGGTTCCCTAATTGGGTCTGCTTACCGGCGCCACGGGTCGTACCAGTTGATCTTCATTGAACGTTGCTAATTGCTTTTTAGGCATGGTCCCCTATGAGGTCGCTCTTACTGCTGTATTCGTCGAGGGTTTCGTCTTTGTTGGTCTTACCATGTTGGGTATCCGACAATGGCTTGCACGAGCTATTCCTGCTAGTATCAAGCTTGCCACCGGTGTCGGTATCGGACTGTACCTGACTATCATTGGTCTCGCCTACTCCGCTGGTATCGGTCTCATCACCGGTGCTCAATCGACCCCTCTCGAACTCGCCGGTTGCGTTGCCGCAGACCAGGTTGATGGCGTCTGCCCAGGAAGTGTCAAGATGAGGAGCCCAACCATGTGGATCGGTATCTTCTGTGGCGGTGTCTTGACCGTCATGCTTATGCTGTACCGCGTCAAGGGTGCCATCATCATCGGCATTCTCCTCGTTTCCATCATCTCGTGGCCTCGCCCAACAAGCGTCACCTACTTCCCGTACACCGAGACTGGCAACTCCGCTTTCGATTTCTTCAAGCAGGTCGTTACTTTCCACCCGATTGGCAAGATTCTTGCTGTTCAGCAGTGGAACATCTCGGAGCACGCTGGTCAATGGGGTCTAGCTTTCATTACCTTCCTCTACGTCGATATTCTGGACTGTAAGTTGCGCGTTAGACACTTTTTGAGTAATATGCTGACATCACTAGGCACTGGTACCCTCTACTCCATGGCTCGTTTCTGCGGTGTTATCGACGAGCGCACCCAGGACTTCGAAAACTCCTCCATCGCCTACTCCGTCGACGCTCTCGGTATCAGTATCGGATCGCTTATGGGATGCCCTCCAGTCACCGCCTACATCGAATCCGGTGCCGGTATCTCTGAAGGAGGCAAGACCGGTCTTACCGCCATGTTCTCTGGTATCTGCTTCTTCATCGCCATCTTCTTCGCTCCGATCTTCGCATCCATCCCTCCCTGGGCTACCGGCTGTACCCTGGTAATCGTCGGTTCACTCATGGCAACCTCGGCCAAGGACATCAACTGGCGCTACCTCGGCGATTCCATCCCCGCTTTCCTCACCATCGCAGTGATGCCCTTCACATACTCCATCGCCTACGGTCTGATCGCCGGTATCTGCTCGTACATTCTCATCAACGGCACCGTCTGGCTCGTCGAGCTGGCTTCTGGTGGTCGCATTGTACCTCCCAACAAGGACGAGAAAGAGCACTGGACCTGGCGTCTCGAGGGCGGCCTCCTTCCCCCGTGGGTTAAGAGGCTCGCCAGCGGAAAGAAGGACTTCTGGAGATCTGACCCGGAGACTATGGGTGTCTCAGAGCCGCATAGCGGAGGCAGCTCGGCTCACGATGACAAGGAGTTCGTCACCGATAAGCGGGCTTCGTAGACTGTGTCTGCTTTGATATTGAGATTGTATATGGGAGTTTGATAGTCATTTTGCGACCTTTTTGTATACATGGCGTTATTACGTCGAGGCGCCTTCATGCGCGCCGAAGCGGGTAGTTTTCTTCGATTATACCCTCACTTGTATCTGATATAGATCGGATTGGTTACAATGGTACACTAAAGTTCACATCTTCATCCTTAGAATTTTCGCATGTGATCACATTTGGATCATCACAAAGTGAGATAACGCCATGTTCCAAAGCCACCAGCGCACGACGTCTGACGTTCAGCCCATCTCGTACAAGGATATCCAGACTTGTCAGACACCGCTCTTGCAGCAGGCGCAACCTGAAGCCACATCGGCAGCGCCACATCCGAGTTACCGACCGAGGCAAGAACCTTGAGATGTAACCGTTCAATCATCGCTCTTTGGAACAACGCAGATTACTCCCCAACTGCAACAACCAAGTCCAAGACGCACAGTCAACACACGCTGCCTATGCGGGGCGTTGCGTGACACCGTGCTTCATACGTCACACTTCAAACACGCTTGCTATCCTTACCTAGGTATCCTTGCTGCCCTTATCTTCCCCGTCCTCATCCTCATCTTCCGCGAAGTCGTACAACGCCAATCTGCCACTGCTCCTGCCCAACGACTTGTTAGAGGCATACATACTGGCTACAACACCGCCGAAGTTTCTACTTTTCTACTCTTGCAGACTGCGAGCGGGCTGGCCGTCGTCTTACAGAGGCGCTGTAGGCTCGGTGGGCGATTCGACGACGATGCTGGACGTGGGTACTACGGCAGCTGCTCCGACGTCTTCTCTTGCATATCATCAAGAACAGACTGTCATGTGGAGGCCGAGGACTTTGTCTAGCGCGAGAAGTAACTTATGGCGCAGTTGTTGATACGATTGCTGGATATTGCAGACGTGACCGAGATCCAGAACGAAACCTGCAGAGGGGTGTGTTGCCGGTGTAAAGTGAAACGGAGTGAAAATTTTCTGCCTCCTCGCATAGCAAACAAGTTGGTTGTTGTCCTATACGCAATGCTTGGCATCTAAACTCTGGTGTCTACGTCGTTGCGTTTGCTCTTCCTTACACTTTTGCTGACGCAATACTGGAATTCCCACAAATCTGCGTACAACGAAGGCGAAAATGTCTGATCCATGCGCAGCACTGAAACTGTTTCGGAAGAGATTCGAGGACGCAGAAGCGCTCTTCGACAGCGGCGATATAGCTGGCTGCATATTGGCAGCTCAGTACAACATAACGTAAGTGGCAGTAACAAAGCATCCGCCAAAATTAGTATTGCGACTGACTATTCCCAGCGACACAACTCTTCCGCCGTACTACATTATAAGAAACTGTATACTTCTCACGAGCGCTATGGATAACTGGGACGATGGCAATGACTGGAGGCTCGCCGCAGTAAGATCTGCAATATACAGATTGGATGTGAGACACAGGCTGACTTCGACCGTGTCGTATCAGGAGAGCTGTCACAGTAACACGGTACGGCGAGCAACGGAAATGAACGATACCAATTCGCTCGCCGCCCTACAAGATCTCCGTGAGGAGCTTGACTGGTTGGCTGAGCAGCGAGACCAATATCTCCAGGAATACAGGGCATGGATGCTTGAGCAAGACGGAGAGGACGACAACGACGAGACGGACTCAGAAGCAGATGGAGTTGAGCTAGACGACAGCGAGGATGAGGCGGATATGGAAGCCGAGAGCGTTAGGTTAGGCGAGAGTAACGCGTTGATGGGGGACACTCAACTTCTTCCGATCCGCGTACACCAAGCTTCTACGGCAAGCCCCATGGAACCGGTAATCGAGACAGTCGCTATGGGTACTGTGCCAGTAGGAGAAGATAAGAAAGATAAAGAGGGCCGAGAAGAAGCCACTGGCGGCGACGAGGAAGGTGGAGAAGGGGATACGGGAAAGATGCCGGAAGGCGGAGAGCAAGCAAGCACTGGCGATGATGGCCAACTGCCCGGAACGGCGAGAGTTGATCGAGAGGACGAGCGTTCTGCCGGTATCGTAGCGGTCAGCTTCCTTTTCGATTGCCAGTCGTACATGCCCGAGCATGTGCGAGCTCAGTTCGACCAGGCGATCCTGACATTTCAGGAACTTGAAGTTGAAATGCGCAGCATCGTCAGCACAGCTTCCGCAGCTACTACAAGTTCCACGACTGCATCGCGCATCAGCCTTTTCGAAGAGTTCAAAGTTACCATGGTCGAATGGTTCCAGTACAAGGAAAGATCATCCGTTACGGCTAAAGAATTGGACAATACTACGCTGGCCGAATGGCAAGGATTGAATCCGAGAATTCAAGCTACCTTTGCCCGACAGGACATCCTCTCCTTCTGCCGAGAGCTCGACGGCAAAGATGGTTTCAGGTATGCACCCTGTTGACGATTCTCAGTATCAGTACATCTAACACTGACATTATCAGATACCACAAGGACGGTGTGCTCACTTACAAGCCCTGAACATCCTAGGGATGCGTTGATAGCTGGCTGTGCGAAGATAGCTTACCGCTTGCAGAAGTGGAGCTGCACTGCGCGAAAGGGATGTCATGGATTCGGAGGTCTCATCGGGGCGTATAGGATAGACCTTCTTTACAAAAGATGGACAACGACGTGTGCATGTGCTAGGATATCCAGACTTGTCAAACATTGGTCTTGTAGCAGTCGCGACCTCAAGCCACCACGTGCCATCGGCCATCGGCCATCGGTGTTGCCGCCTCCGATTCCGAGGCAAGCCCCGCCCCGCCTCTAGGTACCTCCTCTCGATGTACTCGTGATGCACGAACCGGTTCCGCAACATCACTACTGTTTGACTCCGCTCGTATTCCTTCAATCAACTCTCGCATTGTCTCGCAGCATACAAACAGACTCACAGCATAAATAAAGAGCACCATTCTACAGCTTAGCATACTTCGAAGTTCCAGGCGCCGACATCCGGTGGCTTACGAGATCTTTTTCTAAGCAGAGTGGTAGCGAGCTCTACGCTTTGCAAGCACGCGGAACCACCAAGCTCCGTTATTCTTCCCTGACACGACTACTTTAAGAGAAGGCGATACCAGGCGAAGACAATTGGATCAGAGTCATACCCCAAACATGCCGGCAGAACTACAGAACGGGCTGCCTGCCCACGGCACCAATGGTGTCAACGGCAACGCGACGGAGCTCTCAAATCCCACACCCGCACACCCAGCCTTCGACTCGATACCAGATGTCATACAAGCCTTTGGTACGTGTCTGCGAACACCTCCAGCTCCCAAAGCTACCATACCCCTCACCCCGCACAACCCTTACTAACGCGCCTTCCAGCAAACGACGAATTCGTGATCGTCCTTGACTCACCCTCGCGCGAAAACGAAGGCGACCTGATAATCGCAGCCGAAGCCCTCACCCCCTCAAAAGCCTCCTTCATGATCCGCTACTCAAGCGGCTACATCTGCGCACCCCTCCCCGTCTCCCGCGCCGCAGCCCTGCACCTCCCGCAAATGGTCGCCGACAACGCCGACCCCAACCGCACCGCCTACGCCGTCAGCATCGACTCATCCGATGCGTCAGTCACAACCGGCATCTCAGCAACCGACCGCAGCTTAACATGCCGCATGCTCGCCGACCCCAGTGCCAAAGCCAGCCATTTCAGGAGACCGGGTCATATATTGCCGTTGCAGGCAAGGGATGGTGGTGTACGTGAGAGGAGGGGGCATACAGAGGCGGCGGTAGATCTGTGTCGGTTGGCGGGTAAACAACCCGTGGGTGTTATCTGCGAGTTGATTACTGATGGCGATGAGGTGCCTGGTAAGCCGGAGTTGATCGGTGGGGGCATGATGAGGAGGGATGACTGCTTGGCTTTTGGCAAGAAGTGGGGGATTAAGGTGTGCACGATTGATGATATGGTCAGGTACATTGAGGAGAATGATGGGGTTTTGGGCACGTCGTCATAGTTTGAGGCGGGCAAGGGACCGGGTAAAGGTGCGATCATGAGAGGAAGGACATTGTGGAGATGATCCCGTTGGTATGTTGTACGTGGACGGTGTCGGCGCACTTTGAGGATACACGCGCTTTAGTCATGGCATGGAAGAAAACCTGATACTGTACTATTAGATACTCCAATCCAGCGCAAGCTTCTCTATCCAAAAGCCAGGAAAACCGTACACATGTCATTCTATACACTCCGACGAAAACGAGCTCCGCCTACGCTTATACCATGGAAAGCAAACACAACGTTCCCGCCCATCGCGAACAGCACAGTACGCGCCGAGGCCAGGCAAGCAAACCACCTCCCAGCCATACACTCCAGACGATAATAACGCCCTCATCCACTCCCCCCAAAGAACTCCTCCAGCTTCCCCACCACCTCCTGCATAACCTCTTCCCTAACCGCAAAATTCACCCTCGCCCACCCCCCATCCTTCTCCACCCCATTGAACGCCCGCCCAGGCGCAACCTTGATCCCACCTCTTCCTTCCAACTCCCTCCAGAAAGCGTTCTCCTCCTCTCCTGTCCTAGTCTTCTTTGCTAGTTTAGCAGCGAAGAAGGGGCCGTGTGTCGGTACCACGGTCTCGATGTCGCGGCGTCGGAGGAAGGAAGCGAGCATGTTGTAGGAAGTTGACAAGCGGGATGTGTTCAGAGTGAGAAGGGAGGGGAGGAGGGATGATGTAAGCAGGGAGGTTAGATAGATGGTCGAGAGGGAGGAGGGGTGTGTAGCCGTCAGTGCCAGGGAGGAGAGGAGAGGGGTGTTCTGTTGGGATACCACACAGCCCTACAGATACTTGTGTCAGCTCCTGACCATACCTACATGCATGGTTTCCACGGAAAGAGAGTCAGACTTACAACTTGTAGTCCACCTAATCCGAATAACCGACTCGCACTCCACACCACATGCACACGACTCGGATCGACCTTTACCGCACCCTCCGGCACTAACGGTTCCGTCAGAGATAATGCGCTTACAAACGCCGCACCGTTTCTTCCTCCTTTTATCCTTCCTCTGCCACTATCACCCCCACCCCCGTCTTTACCATCTAATGCCATCAGCCCAGCCCCCTCATCAACAATCAAATGCAACCCCCTCTCCTGACAGAACTCCAGTAACTCCCGTAGCGTTTCTCGGGGGTAGCATCGCGAGAGGGGATTGTTGGGATTAGACAACAAAACAGCTTTAATCCGCGTTCTGTAGTCGGAGAAGTCGTAGGCAGCTTGCAGGGAAGGGACGAGGTAGTTGTCCCAGTGGATGTGGGTTGGTGGGATGACGGGGATGGGTGTTACGTTTGCTTTTCGCTTCAGTAAGAGCGAGAGGGTGGCTGTGGTTGTATCAGTCAAAGAGGGCAATTCTGTAAGTGAGGGTTGGACAAAATTATGGATTTGACCGGGGATACTAATGTGGGAGACTTACGACAACTCGGACCAGGAACAAGCACACTATCCCCATCGTCGCAAACAGCATGGATAACATTCTCAATCGCGTCCGTAGTCCCAGCTGTAAGAACGATATGTTCAGCCCTCACAGCATGAACCGGCTTGAAATACGAGTTGAAAAAGCCCGCAAGAGCACTCCTCAACCCTAAATCGCCGCCGTTAAGAGACTCCGTGGGGGACGTAAATGCCTATCGTAGATTCATACCGAATTAGTACATGCGCAAAACTATACTTGTATCAACGCATCCCGACGATCTTCGCAACCGAAATCGGAAACAACATACCTCAACCGCCCCAACATCCCTCACAACATCCCCCAGAAACTTTTGTAACTCGGGATACAACACCTCATTCCCCCCACAACTAAGATCAATCGTATTGCCAAAAGGGTCAAACGTCTCTGGTGCGGTACCCTCAAGCGCAGGCGCAAGCCCGTCGAGCGCGTTCCGCGCCCGTCGCGACAGTCCCGGGTCCATCATGGCTGAGACGGAGAGGTGGCGCGTGCTGCGCATTCAGTATGCAGGATGTAGTATGGCGATGCGTGATGTATTATGTCCAAGATCGAATTGAGGTGGTTACTGTGGGGAAAGTGACCCTGCAGCACGTCGCTGTCGCAGATAAAAAACGTTGCGATCTCATTGTCCGGGGTGTGCTGCCAAGGGTGGTCGCTGCGGTCTGCGGCACAGTTATTTGTGAGGACCCAGTGGACTGGTAACCTGGGGCTGACGCGACGCGTTCTGTTGGTTGGGCAGGCGGCCGGCGAGGGACGGGTCATAGCTTCGATACGGTGACGGGATGGGTATCTCAAAGAAGAGTAGGAAGAGAGGACGGAGTGAATACTATAAAATCTATTATTCGATTCGCGATAATAAACACAAGCGTGTGGGGAATCTCTGAAGAAGTCAAGGAAGGGAAAAACGACATCTCCCCTCTGCACCAAGACCATGCAAGTCATAGAGCCTGCACGCGTGCTTTTCTCCCCTGGTCTATCCTAAGCCTCATGCCCTAACCTGCCTATCACTATTACACAAATGCATGCCCCAAGCCAGACCAACGCCGTTGAAGATGCTCACAGTCAAATGCATGCAGAGCGCATGCAGGGTCTAAGATAAGCGAAGAGCTACGAAGCCCCATGAGCGCCCTCGAGGAAATCTGTGTGGGCCCGTCTCGATTTTGGGTGAAGCGCGGCAATTCGTTCGTGCAAGCGCAAAGATGACTGCTCGTCGAGAAAATGAGGTCGAATCGGCAAGTCGCTATTCTATTGCTGTGGCCGTCCGATACCTTGCTTAGCCTGAGGAATTGTAAGCTTCGTCGTTAAAAGTAAAACAAAGACGGCGGTCTTCTTCAAAGTGGGAGGTGTCGGAACTGACCTTCATCATCTCAATCCTCTGCTTGAGATTTTGGGTAACCTCTGCTGCGCGCTTCCAGCTTTCCGCACCAGATGCTCCTGCGGAAGGTACCCGTTGAGCTGTTCCGTTCTCTGTTGGGCTCCTGCCATCACGCGACATCGACGACAGACCATCTGCTCGTGGACTTAGTTTTCCGCTCAAGTTACTGCCAGGGCGAGATAGAGAATCAAAGTTCTCCTTACCATCGCCGCCCGGGCTTCCTGGCCCACTGGCAAAACTCCTCTCTCGCCTTGGGTGCATGGCCCGACTGCCGTAGCCAGAGTCACCGAAATGCGCGCCGTTGGTGTTACCAACTCCGTTGTCAGTGTAGATCTGGTCTCCGACGTCTGTAGCTGGCGGAGAATTTGAACGCGCCTGCCTAAGGAGTTCGCGCTTCAATCTATCAATCTCGCGGCGCTGGTTCTGTACTGTCTGTTCGGACGCTTCAAAGTCTGAGCGCGCACGGACGAGCTGCGTCTCCTTTGCCTTTATCGAGAGCACGTCGCGGGTGTGATCTTCGATGAGTTGGGCGTTCTGGTTCTGGAGCTCATGGATCTGCGAAGTGAGGTTTGTCCTTTCTCCACGCAAATCTTCATTCTGTCGCCGTACTCGTTCAACCTCTGCTCGTAGCTCATCAAGTTCCGCACGTTCCACCAGGCTGAGGCCGGTTGGCGCTTGTGGTGCTGGGGCGGCGACGGGTTCAGCAGCAGGCCTTCCTAGGGGACGACCTGCGAGACCACGACCGGCACCAAACTTGGGCTGTGGCGGCGGTGCTTCTTCCTCGGGAGGAGGTGAAATAACAGATTTCCGCGGCGAAGGAGCCCCGAGACCTGGTTTCTTCAATCCACCGAGCCTTGATGGCGCAGCAAGACCGGGCTTAGCCCCCAATTTGGACGCGGTGGGTCTTGAAGTCGGCTTCGGCTCGAGAGGTGCGGCGGGCTCTTCCGCAGGCGGAGGCGGGGGTGCTTTTGCCGCAGGAGCCGGCTTCTTTGCACCACCCGGTGCTGGCCGCTTACCCATAGGCTTCTTAGTCGGTGCTGCGGCTGCAGGCTTGGGCGCTGGCGCAGCCTTTGGCTTGTATTTGGACTTGACTTCCGCAGCATCGAAGAACTCTTTGATCTTGGTCTTGCGGATCTCGTCAAGTCCGTCCAGATGAGCGTTCATGATACGGTCTCCCATAATCTTCCACAGCGTACCAAGCACCTCGGCACCAGCAGCTCGCTGTACCTCTTGAGATTCAGTGAGGAGCTTCGTAGAGCCCTCTGCAATGGCCTTGGCTTGTTCCGGTGTTGGGGCTTCGCGGGTGTTCTTCAAGCATCGAACCAGGAATCTTGACGATTCAAGTTTGACCTGAGGATTCTTGTGCTTTAGGAACTCCAGGATTTCCTCCAAGCATTCTTGAAAGCTCGTACATGCGAAGCAGGCGTCCAAAGCAGCTCCAATGGCGTCAGTCACAGTCTGTTTCTTCTCCTTCAGGCGCTCCATCATTGCGTTCATGACGTCTTTGCGGTACTTGGCGAAGCTCTTCTTTAAGCCCTTGGCTAAAAGCTCGACACAGTTCGCAGCAGTTACAACACAGGCGATATTCGCATCCTTCAGGCAGGTCTTCGCAAAGCCGCGTACTAGCTCATCGAAAGGTCCTTCGGCGATCCTTGGGTGATCAAGAGCTTTTTGCGTGTCGTCGAGCGCTTCTTTTCGGTCTTTCCATTTTGACGAGGCCAACTTCTCCGAAAAGTCTTTGGGAATCTTTGCGAATACATCAACGGCTTCGTACTCGGGCTCAAGATCGATGGCGGCCTCTTCTTCCTCTTCCTCCTCTTCGACGTCTGGCGCAGCGGCAGCGGCTTCCTTGGCAGCCTGCTGTGAACGGAGCAGTCGCTCCTGTTTTGGCGAGGGCTCTTCCTTGACCTTTTCAAATAGCTTGTCGAGATCTTGCTGTTGGACAGGCTTCAGATCGTTCCAGAAGAGCGGCTTCATGGCCTCTTTTAGCCATCGGTAAAGTTCGACTGTCAACTCCTGCGCCTTGGCGCGAACGTTCTTGTCCGCATGGCCGTAACATTTTGGAAGCGCCTTGAGGACGGGCTTGGGCTCGATGGTTTTGCAGCCGTAGGCATGGTAAATCTGTGTAAGGGCGTCTAAAGTCGCGGCGATGACTTTGGGTTGCTTGTTTCCTAGTACTGGTAGAAGCTCTTCGATTACGGGGTCGGGCTTGTCGGTCTCGATGTATAGCATGAGCGCTTCGAGCGCCTTCGCCTTCGCTGCCGGTCGCGTTGAGGGTAGGCCCTTCTCGGCGATGGTTGTGATGGTGTTTCCGCGTGACCTAAACAATGCGTTAGTATTGCGCCGCGCAAAGTTTTGCAAAGTACTTACCGTACGCAGCCCTCCCTTCCTGCTATCTCGAGGAAGGCGCACAGTGCGCCGAGACCTTCTTGTTGTGCCGCGACGTTGGAGTCGCCCGCAACACCTTTCCATACGCTCGCATCGTTTATGAACTGGCGCACAATGGGGTCTGATTCACTGGCGGCGAGACTGAACTCTTTGGCGGCGGCCTCGTATGCTTCTTTCCGCACCTTCCAGACCTTGTGTACGAAGCGATCCGGAAGCGGCAGAGAACTGAAATCTTCCTCCGCGGCGTCGGCCATGGCCTGTTATGGAATGTGATGGATGTAATGCGGGGTCGTCTAAGAAACCAGAAAAGCTAATGAAGAGTAAGTCGCGGAGTTCGGGAAGGTTGGAATGCCTTATAGCAAGTGGCGCAACAGTCCAAACACTGTGTGGACAACAGTGATATGCGCGCGGATGGGCGCGCGTGCAGTGGACCATGACTGATGCAGGAGGCAGGAGCGGCGGAGACGTACCAGATGATGTCAGTAGACAATGTTGTCGATTGCTTTTTGTGAGACTATTGGATCGCAAAGTGTCGGATAGCGATAACAGCGGAGTGTGAGGGGTCGAGTATGGTGTGAGGTGATGATGTAGAAAGTGCAAGTATGTTTTG